TTAAGAGGCGCTTAAGTAACGGCGGCATTCTTAACAAATCTACGATAAAAAATTATTAATCCAATAAATCTGCGTAGCTTTATTACTGTTCGTGGCTTTGGGTAATTGATAATTGCAGCGACTTTGTCTTTGAGAGTAGTTATTCCCTCGCTGTTGATTAAATGTCCGAGGTATCGAACTTCCGATGCGCCGAATGTGCATTTCTCGAGGTTGATAGACAGTCCGTGCTCTTGTAGTCTTCTAAGAACTTCTCGGAGGTGTTTTCTGTGCTGCTGTGGCGTTTCGATGCGATGATAATATCGTCTATGTAACAGAAGGCGTATTCTAATCCTCTAAGGACTGTGTCCATTAGCCTCTGGAACGATTGCGCGGCATTACATAATCCGAAAGTCATTTGTTTGAACTGCAAAAGGCCAAAAGGCGTTTTTATTGCGGTTTTCTGCTGATCTTCCGGTGCTATAGAAATTTGATAAAAAGCTTTAATTAAGTCTAATACGGTAAATACTTTGCATCCTCGTAGACGATGTGCAAAATTGTTTATATGAGGGATAGGGTATATATCCGGTCGTGTTTTCTTATTTACGCGGCGGTAGTCGCCACATAGTCTCCATCCGCCATTCTTTTTGCGAACCATATAAAGAGGGCTGGTCCAAAGACCAGAGGATGGTTCACAGATGCCCTCGTGTAGCATACGTTCGAATTCGAGGCGTGCGGCCTTTGCACGAGTCGGTGAGAGACGGCGGGTTCGTTCGGCGACGGCGACGGGAGGACCTTCAGTAATGATATGATGTTGAACTGCGTGTTTAGGCTCTTGAATTTTTGCTGGACGAGTGACGCTGCTGAATTCTCGTAAGAGATCACTATATGGGTTATCGTTACTGATAGTTGAAAGTGATGGAGTGCAACACGGAGTTAAGTCTTCATCAACTTTGAGCTTCGAGGTTCTATCAATAAGGCGACGGCCATGTAAGTCCACCAAGAGGTTATGACGTTTTAGGAAATTGGCTCCAATTATTGCTTGTTGGACGTCAGCTACTAGAAATTCTCATTTAAAAGGTCTGCGTAGCGATAGATTTAATGTAAGAGTTTTAACGTCGTACGTGTTGATCGCAGTGCCGTTTGCTGCATAAATCTTAAGATCTGTTGGAGTTGCACGTCGGATTAGAGACTTCTTAGGTAGAACGGAGACATCCGCGCAGGTGTCAATTAAAAACCTCGTTCCCGAATTAGTATCCAGGATAGCGAGGCGGTTTTGAGTATTTCCTGGACCCGAGGTCGTCTCAATCCGCGGGGCCTGTTTTAGTTTTCCTGTTTTTCTTGCGCTTTCGGCCACCCGCAGGACTCGACAGTTGCGGGCCTCAGTACCAAACTTTCTATGGTAGTAGCATGGGAAGGTAGGCCGACCTTTAATGGCTCGTGCTGATGAGCGCCCGGTCGGCTGTCGCCCTCGGTTTTGTGAGCGTGATTGGCGGGGCTGAAGTTTCTTTTCTAATTTCTTTGTAAGAGCCTCAATTTGTAATGTGAGTGCATCTACAGAACTTGTATGTGCGGATTCACCTTTAGTGTTGTTTTTCGTGGTAGGCGTGTCTCCCGTGGTGCATACGGCTAGTACGGATGGTTTAATGATGTCCATTGCCCTGCCTGCCATTTCTGCTAAACATCCTAAGTCTTGTGTATCGGAGACTGCTAAAATAGTACGTATTTGATCAGGCAGCTGTTCTAAAAAGAGAGATTGTAATACCGGCTCACTACATTGGCCTCTGGCTAAATTTCTAAGTCGATGAAGATATGCCGTGGGTCTTTCGTCGCCCATTTCGTTACCGCAAAGGAGGCGGCGAAGTCGCCTTTTATCTTCTTCATCGTGCTATTATTCTTTTTTTAAAGGCTTCATATTTCCCGTCTTGCGGAGGTGCGAGGATTATATCCGATACGCTATCTAAAACTTCCCCAGAAAGCTGAGCGGCTAGTTGTCGAAACTTACTTATATCGGAAGTAATACTGTTGTTTAAAAATGCCAACTCGATTTGTGCAAACCATAAGCGTGGATTTTGCTTGTAGAAAGGCGGCAACGTAATTTGGCGAGCCTTAATTACCGCTAGTTGTTTTTTTTTACCTGGTAAGCGATAGTCGGCATCGCCTTGCGATTCTCGAGCGGTATCATTGTGCTGATTTAGTATTGCTGCTGTATCTTCTGCGATCGTCGACCGCTGCGGCAAACGTTCCATCATCTTGATGCGATGCGATGTTCCTTGTCGGAGTCACCAATATGTAGCAAGGGTATTATCAATAGAATCGATAATAGCTTTTTGTTGCGGTCGTGCACGACTATGCGAAAATGCAATTAGTGATATCACGCTTGTATGCGCACATACACAATATTTATATAATTGCGAGGCGGCGTAGTTTCAGGCGTCTTCGGTGCCTGTGATTTCGGTCCGTGGCTTCCGTTATCTCCGTCTCTTTTCCATCAAAACAAGTCGTAGCGGTTGACGAATAACTTGATTGGTGGAGACGAGCAAATCAGCGGGCGAATCTAGGATCCACCAATCGAGAGAATCTGATGTTTTCAACAACGCATTAGCGAAGAGCGCGGCTACCGCGGAAAAACAATCAGTCAGTCTGAAACGGTCGAAGGACATAGTCCATGTTACACACTCGCGAAGACTTATAGTACGAACACGATTTCGTGAAGTAATACGAATAATTGTCGTGATCCGAGTCGTTTCCTAGGCGTCATCGCGATCCGAGCATAAGCTCGAGTCGTTATCGCGATCCGAGCATAAGCTCGAGTCGTTATCGCGATCCCGAAACGACGTCGAAGCGTTGTCACGAGTGCGTGTGTTCGACGCGGTATCGCGAGACGATAGATTCGACCTGGGGCATATCCTCAAGGCGTTGTCGAGGAAATACGCGAACGCAGCAGATGCGAATTATAACGATCACGAGCGCATTACAGTGCATCTCAACTTGTACAAATATATAAATTTGGATCTGAACTTATATGAAATAAATAACATTCGAAATCACGACGTAAATATTAGAAGATTTACGGCGACACAAAACACTTTTAGTACGATGTTAACGTCTTTATTACAAACTTAGATCTCTCTAAAACTTCTTACAAACAGTGAATATATATTGAGGTAGAATGGTAAGCTGGCACCGTCTAGGGAATAGTCACCACATTCTCTCTTCGACATTATATAGTATTTCAAACATAACAAGAAGTCAAATTAAGTTAAAAATATAATTTTTTACAAATGAGGTTTATTTTATTGTAATAAACTTTTTATATTGTTTTGGTGTTATAATATTTTATCACAATGAAAAAAAATAAAAAACAAAAAATCAGTGAAACGCACTTGGTAAGATTTGTTTATACAGGTAACCAATATTACAAAAACTAACAAATTTGACGCAGTCACATTTACAATGCACATTAACAATTATAACTGCATTTACGGATACGTTATCTTGCACACACATGATGTTCGTCATCTTACTCGCAGTTATAGTAATTTATTTTTTTCATTAAAAAATAAAAATGTTGCGATGCGAAAAACGAAAAATGCTAGTATGTTATTCTATACATTCTTAGCTATACCATACCGTAATTTTATAGAGAAAGTGAAAGTATTATTTACTATAATTATGTCATTCCGTATAAACAGACACCAAAATTACATATGGGTGCATCTAAAACACATTTCTTATTATGTTATTCACTTTTATGGGCAGATTGAAATCAAACTACAAGAGATTATGTCAATGTGCTATTATCTAAAGCCTTTAATAAGTTTAGCATTAACTCGTTATCTGTTATTAGTTTAGAAAAATTAGCAATTCGTCATCTTACCCCCCTTGCCCTTACTAATAACTGCACTTTGTTGTCAGTCTTTGTTGTTCATTTCTATCCCTCCATACGCATGCCCTTTTCACGTTATAATCAGAATATCTCGGTAACCGTTAGGAATAGGATCCATGTTCATATAATCCTTTTGGCTTAGACTCATTAATACTATTATCTGCCGGAATATTGCAGATTCTTCCTCAATCACTCCATATGTTCGTCATACGTCAGATAATGTCTATATACTTAAGTCAACAAGCGCAGTATATGGCTAATTTATGTTGTTTATGTCTTAATAAAATGCGACAAGTACAAATGCAGTAAGAAAGTTTTTCTTTATTTTTCTTGTTTTTATTTACATTTTATTAATCAGAAAACGTCAGATCCGTATCTTTCGTATTACCAGCAATCCACTTGCTGACTTTCTCCTCGATTTCTACGGTAAACACTTCTTTTCAACCGCCTACCTTTCCTTGTCGGATGAATGCTTCGGGCTTTATCGCAGAACTGATAAACGTTTGATTCACCATGTAATTTTTACGGAAATTTTCTATCTTTAAATGGTTCACTAACTTGGCGATTTGCTTATCGCTGTAAGTCTGGCCGAAGAATGCAATGACTTTTTCGATAGTTCCAGATAGATCCTACGTAAAATAAATAGAAATATTTCAAATAATAATATTGTTGCGCCCGCGCTGAGACACCCGTTGCACGAGCAGAAGTCGAAGATCGTCCCTGACGACCAGCTGTTTTGGATCAATCGATTAACCACGATTTGTTGTTTTGTTTTGTTCTGAGACTCCGTCTCCGAGCGGACGTGACAGCTCGATTCTGTGTTTTAATCCGTTTGCTCTAATAAACGAGTCTTTCCATTCCTAACATTGTGTCGCCTCATTGACCGCGAGTGCCGGTTGCGCGAGTGAGTGAGATTGCAAGCGGTGAGACGCGAACGCGGACTCGGCGAGCGCAACAATATAATATAATTTGTGATATAAAAATATAATGTTTTTATAATATATATTTTATAACATAGGATATATTTTACATTTTTTACAATTTTCATTGAAGAGATAGATGGAATTCTTCAGAACAAATTCTGCAGGCAATTCTTTGTATATAATATTAAAGTTTTTCTTGATTTACCTTTATCAAATCCTCGCAAGAAAGGAATAACAAGTTTTCTCTGTGTCTCACCGCCCAAGCTTTTTTGATATGCTCCCAATATCACTGTAAAAAAAGTATGTAAAATTACGTGAATAATAAGTGTAAAAATTACGCAATTAATAGCGGAAATTTGACAATTGTATAGATATTTTTACATTAAAAACTAAATATATCTTTATATTTAGTGAAAAATTACACGAACGATTCTATGTTTCATAGATTTTAGGTAAATATATTAAATAAAATTAATTAAAATTGTAACGATGCGCCCCAAAACGCATCATTCCCGGCGAGCATCAGCCGGATGCCGCACGGCCGAACACCCGCCGGGCGAGACAAGGCACGGTGTGCCCTTTTCAAACTATTAATCTCGCGTATCAGTCCGCAAACGGACTTAGCGCGGCAACCGACTCAAAGCGCCGAGCGGTGCCGAAAACGGCCGAGAGCCACCGAACGCAATCGCGGCGTCGGGGCGCCGTACTTCCCGAACGCTCCACCGCTTCATCCCGGCGCGCGCGATTGCCGTCGCGTATACCCCCGCCACGCCGACACGCCACCGCGGGCGTATATAAACCGAGCAATGTTGCTAGGTTTTAGATTCCGCCGTGAGCCAGCAAACCGATCCGACCGATTCTCCGCTGCTCACGAATCCCGAAATCCCACAGTCGAACAACCAGGAGGTAGAGAGTGTTCTCTGCCTCTGCCGAGTGAAGCATCTAGGCGGTTGACTCGAACTTCCATACGAACACCTGTGACACCGGAGTGAACCAGGGTAAGAGAGTTCTTCTCTTACTCGCCAAGGGTCTTGGCCACCCGGTGCCGCCTCCCGCCTACACGAATCGATGCGCCAGGAGATAGAGAGTACTTCTCTATCTCCGCTAAGGGTCTTAGCCGCTCGATATCACGATCCAATCGCGATCCAGCGCCTTACGCGCTCACTGCCGCCGCTATCCAAACCTGCGATACCGCGTCGATACCGCGCCGAAATCGCACACCGTACTTCAGCGAGCCCGCACGCTCACCGATCCGCGAAACTCCGCGATCTCCGTGTATCGTCGCTTTACCGGCGTCCGCAAGCTCCGTGATATCTGTATATCACCGCCGTTGTAACCGCCTCCGCGATCTATTACCCATTCCCATCGACTCCGCGATATCCTTACGTCACCGCCATTGTAACCGCGTCCGCGACCTATTACACGTACCCAGCGACTCCGCGATATCTGCATATCACCGCCATCATAACCGCGTCCGCGATCTATCACACGTAGCCAACGACTCCGCAATCACTGTAAACCGCCGCTATCGTAGCAGCGACCGCGATCTTTTATACATATTCACCGCTCCCGCGAGCATCTCTATGTATTCACGCATAATTGAATAAACCTTATTTTGTTTTGTTATATTTTAACCGAGTCTTGTGTCTTCCTCCGCGCCTACTCCGAAACCTGACCAGCCGCGAGCTAAATCCGCGCTTCGGAAGCTAGGTTGTTTTAAAATATACCAATTCTTGTAATATTCCATAGTATAACGATAATATATACACATCACAATTGAATTTTTACATATAAAAAAGGATAGATACACAAAATTTAAGGTAAATTTATACATACAATTGTATGCAATAGATAGTTTATAGAGTAAAAACGATACACGAAATGGCATTACCACCCGTAATGCTGCCATGTCATGTTGCGCTTAAAAAAATTTAATATTAAAAATATTTAAAAAAAATTAAAAAAATATTACATAAACGTTTCTGTAATGTTTAACTGTAAATTTACTGGCACAGCCAGTTTAATTACTATATAAAAAAATTAATTTTTATATAGACGCAGGAAATTTATACCTATAATAGTTAGTCCTAAAATTACATTACAAAATTTTTTAAAATGTACGGTTTATAAATCGCTGAATTTGTTAGAAAAAAAAGCAAAGATTCGGTAGAAAGAAACGTTAGTTGAAAAAAAGAAAAATAAATTAAAAAGTCGATTGAGATTTGGCGAAACTTACTATGATTGTTCATAAATTGATTACAGAATTGTTCGAGAGTTCCCCGATACTGGTAAATTTCCATATCTTTTTGGAAGTTGTACCATGAGATTATTACGTCTCTTGGACGTCTTTCTCGCGACACAGATAATTTGAAAGAAACTAACATATTTCTGAAAAGAGTCATCTGTAAACTGCGTTTTTGTTATATTTTACTAATTCTGACATGTGTTATTTAAGATAAAAAAACCATTATATTTACTTTTAATCACTATCTTAAATTTGTCGAATGTAACAACTCGAGTATACATTCGTGTTCTATTTCAGATTAATTAAATTCAATTATAATGACGAATTTTTTAATAAGTTAAAAAAAATTTTGATGGAATCAGAGAGTCGTTGTTTCCTCTGTAATTTTCTTTAACATTTTTAACATTTCTTTCATTACTTCTATTTTCTTAAATTTATATATTTGTAAATATATGTTTAATTTGAGAAATGTTCGATCGTAAGGTTGTGACCGGACGTCACTCTCTGGGTACGTGGATCACACGAAAATATGAAATCTCAGCCAGATTTGCCTATCAAACGGTCGCCACTCGGTTTGACCTTGATATACCGAGAAGGTAAGTATCAAAATTATAGCACGATATTGCAACAATACTCCATTAATTTCTTTTATTTTCAGGTTCTTGACGAAGGATGTCTCGACGCCCCGACGCTGCCTCCCCACTGCTGGATCCATCGTTGGACAACGTGGGACCACCCCCGACGGACCAGGTAAGTAGAAAATGTGTATGTTTAATTAATCGGCTAATTTCCTTTTCAGCTTTTCGCCCCGGATGGATCTCAACTGCCGCTGACTGTCCCAGATCCTCGCCTTATCGCATACTCAGTATGCCATACTGGAACGCCGCTGGACAACGATGGATCGATGCCGTAGGACAAGGTAAGTCGCAGGTAAGTAATTCAAATTAACTTGACATTGCGTATATTAACAAACGATTGATTTATTTCAGATCGTCGTAGTTGATTACAAAATTGTCGCGCCGTATGCGCTTCACGCTGACACTTTTCGTCGAACGTTGTTATAAATGGTAATTAATTACCGCTCGCAATAGTTATACAAATTATGTTTAACGCGCAAGTACGCGGGAGTGCTTGGTTGTATTATATTGCTGCGTTAAACTACGCGCTAAGTCCGTATTGTGTGCGAATCTTATATACGTGTTACGGCGACCACGATATCCGAGCGACTGCCTCGAGTTGCCGGGCTCTCTTGGCTTTCCCACCTCGGGATATTTGCTCCCACCATGGGTTGTTTGTTATTCACATCTCGGTACTGTTCCACGCCAGATGTTGAACGCTTTCTCTTTTCTTATGGCAGTTTTTGCATGTTTTCGCGTTCGGTGTCGCCCGCGGTTCTCAATCCGAGCTTCATAGTTAATCGCACGCATACGCATGGGTCCCCTTGGACCCCGCTCTCCTGGTTCCCGGGTCCGAGGATTATACGACCGAGTGGTCTCGCTGACCCTAGAGTTCCTATAATAAGAGTTAGGACAAACCGCCGCCATGTACAGCCAAATGATAGCTTTGTCTCACTCCCACTAACTTCTTGGCTGAAACATATGGCGACCATGATAGCTTTGTCTCACTCCCACTTAAGCCCGGTGTCCACGATGCAAGAACTGTGTCCAAGTTTCGGTTTAAGCCAATGAAACTGCTACTTTTCTGTAAGAGCTGCAAGTTGATTGGTTTAAATCGAAACTTGGACACAGTTCTTGCATCGTGAACACCGGGCTTTACAGCTTGTCTCACTCTTACTAACTTGGCTGAAACATATGACGGGACCAATCAAAAATCGTTACCACATTGGCTTAACTCTTATTATAGGAACTCTAGCTGACCCCTCGGATCTTTCCCGGCGCCTCCTCCAGTGACTCTCCGTCCGCTACTTCCCTCCGGATTATCGCGGTTACCGACTTCCGGGGGTCATTGCTTGACCCCGCTATCTTCGCGTCCGGTAGTACTATTATGTCGCGAGTCGGTCGGTTGACATTCGGGTCCCCCCTGCGACGGACTCCGCGGCTCGGCCACCGGCTGTGGCCGTCGTACCCCTGTGCGCGGGGGTCATTGTCGTGACCCCGCGATCTCCGCGCCCGGTGGTATTATCGCATCGCCGGTCGGCCGGTTGACATTCGGGTCACCCCTGAGACGGCCTCCGCGGCTCGGCCCCCGGCTGTGACCGCCGTACCCCTCTGCGCGGGGGTCATTATTGTGACCCCGCTATCTCCGCGCCCGGTGATATTAGCGCGTCGCGGGTCGGGTGGTTGGCATCAGTGTCACCCCTGAGACGGACTCCGGGGTTCGGCCCCCGGCTATGGCCGCTGTGCCCTCGTTCGCGGGGGTCATTATTTTTTACCCCGCTATCTCGCGTGCCCTTTGCTCGATTCTCGCCGCGATCGTCCCTATCACCTCCGCTCGGGACTCCTGTCGAGGCCTGCTTGTTGTCTCGTTCGGTCCTTCATCTGCGGCTCGCCTGCCGGAGTCAATCAGGCCCCGGTTCCCCTATTTGTCGCGTTGCTATATTTTGAGATGAACGCTAGCCATATGGGCTCTTCGGACTCGCTTATCCGGTAATTAACCTAAAGAAATATTGATGTCCGCTGCTCCCTGGTCGCTGCTGCCCCTCGGGTGTCCTCGGCTTCTCGGCTAGGCGAACGGTTGCATTCTCCCTGTCAATTTCGCACATGAGTATCGGCTCGTGCGGAATTTTGAAATACATCGCGCATCCGTTCGCGTTCGCGACGCTCCCGTTTTGTGGACTTAGTCCGCTCGAAAATACTACACTTAAATTCGTGGCCCTTTTGGCCCGCGTAATTATTTGATTGGCTTTTTTGGCTTGCTCGCGATATAAACGTAACTCGAATTGAAATTTTTTTCTGCCTCTATGGGCTCTTAACGTATACACAAAAAGGGAACTACATCTTTCGCCTAATCGGCTTATCACTTAACCTAATTATATTTACTCAATACAGGCCTCGTCGGCTCACAAAATCAAAACTTAATTCATACTCCGCCTGACTTGCCTCTACGCTACGCCGTGTGTACGGTGGGGTCTTCCTCTTGCTACTCCAGATCCCCTCTCACCGGTGTGAAGTCCGAGTACCGGGATTTGGTGCTCACGGTTTGGAATGAGTCGTTGAAACTTCCCTCCGGGTCCATTTGTGGCAGATCTGGCCACACCGTGACCGCTTCGAAGTTCACCCCCGGTGCGCTCACGGCTCCCGCTGATTCTGCCGCGCCGCCTTCCATTGTCGGTTGGTCGCGCTGCTCGTCCATCCACTGGAGTATCATTCGCGGACTTCCCCGCGGGTTCCGCTCCCGTTGCTGCGTCGGGGTCGCCGCCCTCTCTATTTTTTACGCCCCCTTTTGCCGGGATCTCCGCTCTCCGCCTGCTCGCTTACGCCAAAATTCTCGGCGTCGTTCCGCTTTGCGCTTCTTCCCCTCGGCGCTTTCCCATTCGACTATGGCGCGGGCCTTTGCCCCGGCGAGCTTTGCGGATCTCCGCTCTCCCACACCTTGGTATTGTGGAACTGGGGCCTCCTCCTCCGTATCGGACTCCGTTCCGCTCTCAGGCGACGTGATCACCATTACGGTTGTTCTGGAT